TTGACTGCCTTTGTGGCAAAATTCAGGGGTTTTCACGCAGCCAAAGCCTGTGGAGGAGGCAGTGGTGATGCAGGAGGTGCTGTGGTCATGGTTGTGGAGATGCCACAACAACCCTTGGGAAGGCATGGGGAACAAACATGGTTAGGTGCAGCTGATATGGGAAAAGCAGATCATTTGGCTTTCAATACCTCTGCAGAAATCAGACAAAAATCCTTAGGAAAGACAGGAATAGTAAATGAGCCAATTTTATCTCTTAAAAAAAGTGGGAGAAAGAGGCATTTCCCGCCTGTGAAATTTTACCAGCAAATTACATGCTAAAGAGTGTTATTTGAAAGAAAGTGTTGCTACACAGCTATTGAACACAGCTTTAATAATAAATTGTGGTGAAGACAGAACTGGTTAATATCCTTTGAAGGAAATAGGAGCTTTTTGTGGCAAGAAACCATTTACTTTGGATTATATCATAAAAAGTCTTTGCAGTGAAAAGTCTGGAGACTGGGGCGTGGGATTTTCCTTCAGAAGTAAAAGTTTATTTTCTGTTACAGCGTATGTGGGCAGTGAATTCCTGTCTTCCCTTTTTCTTTATTATTCTCTGTTGTGCTTCTTACCCCCGTGCTGCAAAACTTTGAAGTTTCCTTTTTCAATATTGATATTTAACGCTGCCCTCATCGCGAGGGGCGAAGCGACATTCATCTCTCTGGAGGCTCTGTCAGTGCTGGTGGGAAGAGGTTAACAAGCCCCTTGGATGGTGTATTTTTCTCCCCTCCCTCAGGAATCGGGTTTAAGACCTTCACAGGGAAGTATTTAATGTGTTTTCATTAAGTTGGGTTTTCTTTTTCCTATTAAGAGTTTTGCTTTCAGGCCTCACTTTGTGCTCAGCATCGACTTTCTTGGGCTGTGCCCACGCAGAGGGCACCCCGGGCTGGTAGCTGGGCACAGCAGGTTGCTGTGATGTTGCATCTACATCTTGTGCTGATGCTGTCCTGAGCCGTGTGCTTGCCAAGAAATCAGTGTTTTTTCAAAGCTGGCAGCTTCTCCAGCACCAGTCAGTTCAATATCTGCTGTGGGGTAATCGCTTTGCTAAAAGAACATAGCTTTAAGCTTGTGCTCAACGTTACAGATGCCCGGGCTGTTTTGCCCAGTCTGGGTTCTGGAGGTGGCTCTCAGCATCGCTCCAAACCGCTCTGCTTTTTCCCCTCAATTATTCTTAAAACCTGGCTTTTCAGTCAAGTGCTTGTGGAAGTGTCCGTGTGGAAAATTGCAGGGAGAGCTCTCAAATGAGCTTTAGCTTGAAGGCTCAAAGACCAGAAAACACCAATGGTTGTTTACACAGGAAAATGATGACTTTTTGGGTGCTGGGGAGCAGATGTATGGTCCCATCTGGTGACCAACCAGGACTTTTGCAGAAGGAGCCACGTTTAGGCTTCACGCTTTGTATGGTGGCTCACTGGGGCTTTCCTTATCGCAAATCCCAAGGGATTGCAGTGAATCCCCGTGGCAGATGCTCAGGCCCTGGCTGGTTTGTGCCTCGGGATCGAACCTCGTGCTGTTATTTTGGTGCCTGAGACACCCGGGGCTTCTGCAGAGCTTGGACCTGGATGCCTGGTGTCTGCCACGGGTTGCTTTTGTGCTTCCGTCTGCCTCCGAGCTGGGGACTTCTTTATTTCCTCCCCTGTTTTTATCAGATTTGCAATCTCCAAAAGCTCCGTTTCTCGCTCAGATGGGGCTGAAATTGGCCGGTGGATTTAAACTTCCCACAAGGGACACGGACTGTCAGATCCACACACGCGGTGATTTTCTTCAGGAAACAAAGCTAAAAATAATAATGATTCATAAAAACACTGTGAAAAATACTGGTTTTCTGGTGGATGGAACAGGTAACGTCCAATTTTGTGTGTTTTTAAGCTGCCTCCACAATTTGAGCTCCTGGACAGATGACTTTCTCTCCAAACTGCAATTTCTTGCAGCGTCGTCTTTCAAAGCCCGTGTCTGCTGTGGTGAACTGGGGGGGGTTTATTTTGAGAGAGAGACTTGCTCGGCAGTTATTATTGAAGAGAACTGACTTGGGACTTCCGATTATTTTTTTTCCTTGAAAAAAAAAGCTCTCTAAGCATCACTGTTTGCCTTTGGGGAGAAACTCAAGTGACCTGGACCTGTGCATTTCGGAGCAGCTGCAGAGCCTCAGCTGAGCCCCCCGCCATGGGTCTGGGGAGCAAGGGGGGGACCCCAATTCCTGCCACCCTGCTGGTGGGGGCTCTGCAGGGCAGTGCTGACCCCTGCTCTGTGCTCCTGGGTTCAAGGCAGCACCTCGTCCAGGATTGCTGTTGCCTCCTGCGAGCTGCTGGCCCCAGAAGGCTGGGAGAGACAAGCATTGTGCATGTTGTAACAAAAGGAGCTCCAAAACTTGCCCCCTTGACCCAAAACTTCGAGAGGCATGAAATTGCCTGATGGCAGCCCAAGAGTTTAAATGACCCCGTGGTTGGAGGTGACCACGTTCCCTCTGTGCACCGGGAGCTCATCCCAATGGAGCTGCAGGTGCCGGTCCCGGCCGTGGTGATTTCCAGCCACAATCCCTTCTCCATGACCGTCACGAAATCCAGGTTTTTCTCCTCGCTGCTGTCACTCCTTCCTCCTTTCTTGAAAAGAAAACCCCGAAGAAGAACGTGTCTGTGTCTTGGCAACTCCAACAGGCGAACAGATTGCGCTTCGAAAAAATGGCAAAGTTTCAAAATATTGTATTCTCTGAAGAAGAGACAAGGAAAATAAACTCCCCAAAGTGCAGATTTGATTTCACCAGAAGGCGGAAGGCTTTTAATATTTATTTGGGTTTGGCATTTTTGCTACCTAGTTCTTCTGCTGACACCACTCGTGAACCACGATAAGATTAAATGCTGTACAACCTGTTCTGGTTCACCTTCAAATGAGGTTAATTTCCAGTAGGTTCATTTTTGCCTTCCCGGAGCTGCCCGAGCGCAGGGTCCTGGGCTTCAGGTGCAGCACGTGGGGTTGTGCAGGCAAATCCAGGAGGGGAAAAAAAGAAAAAAGGGAAAGGGCAGAGCAAATTTGTGCTTGTTTCCCTTTTGGTTTTGGTTGTTGGGCGAGTGTGGATGGATGGTGGGTGTGTAGAGCTGTGCCAGGGGGGCTGGGGAGTGTTAATGGGAAGAGTTCAGTTCTGGAGCTGAAGAGGCAGTTCCTGACTGATCACTGGGATGGCAAACTCAGAGATTGCCAGAGAAACAGGGCTTTTGTTTGCCTGTATTTTTGAGATTCCTTTTTTGTCTAAAACATGACAACATCAAGAGCACTGTTACCCATCCTTTTTTGTCTAAAACATGACAATATCAAGAGCACTGTTACCCATTTAGCATCCTGTTGGATCCCATGTGCACTTGGCACAGCTTGGGCAAGAAATGGTTTCTAGAGCATCTTGCAAGCAGGGCTTGCTTCTCAGTTGTGCCTTCTAGAGGCTTTTGTAGTATGACCAAGAAAATTAGAAGGAGAAGGGTCAAAGAACAGCTCTGCTATCTGTAGAAATTCCTCCGCCTGTTTTTACAATGATTTTTACTTCCTTACAGACTAGCTGTTACCTCTTGGGAAAACTGAGAGCCATTCTTCATGCTTCTGAGTGACCTTGCTGCTTTTATTTTGCCTTTTCTGTGTTAGACTGGAAGCTCCTTGAGGCAGAGAATTGGCTTTTTTTTTTTTCTTTTTCTTTTTCCCTTTTGTGGATTTGCAGCTCTGTAGATTTCCAGTAACAATAGGCAGTGTGCACAGTGGTTTCCCATCAGTGCTTTTCCCACGAGGTGTCACAGCCTGTCCCATCCTGGAATGACTCTTGCCAGAAGGAGCAAGCAGGATCCTGTCTTTTGGAGCAGGCAAGGGAAAAAAAAAAATAAAAAGATTGGCAATCTGAATTTAGTAATTGCTTCAAAAAGGTAATTTTCAGTTCTGGGTGCCTGCACTTTGATGTAGCACCCCTCTGGCACTGACACCCGTTGACATGAGTGTGTGTCAGGAGGGAAAACAAACTCCAACATGTAGAGGTAAAGTTTGAAAGAAAGCGTTGGGAATCGAGAGTAAAAGTCATGCTTAAAAGAAAGACAGTAATTGATATAAATTGTTAGGTTAAAAATGTTTCACGCCTAAATTAGATGCTTGTGCCGTTTTGGGGGAGCAGGGATTTTATTACAGGGCCAAACAGCCAGATGTTTACCTTGGGGTTTTGGTGACATGACTTATGTTTTCAGGTTATTTTATCCATGAATTCAAAAGCCCGTGCTGAAATGTGGCTGTATGTGTTTAGTCATAAAAAGGTTCTTGTATTTCTCTAGTCTGCCTGGCTCTTGTGTCTGCCGGCTTGGACCCCCTTTACAGGAGAGCCTGCATTTGAACTGCTTCAGAGCTTGAGCTCCATCCAGCTCAGAAAAGCTTGGCTGGTCAGTGTGAACAGAAACAAACGGCTTTGAAGCCTGCAAACTTCATTCTGCTGTATTTTTTTTTTTGCTGGGTTTGCACAACTTTAACGATCAAGAGGTGAAACATCCATTTAAACAGAATCAGAATCTGGTTTCGGTCTTTCGGATCCAATTGTAAAAAGACTTTTCTTCCTGCCAGGGTTCGCAGCTCTGTGCCTGGAACGGTTTAAAAATCTAAGAAACATTTTAAGGGATTGTACGTGGGTAGGGCTGATGAAGGAGAAATACCTTTCTCTTTGCATTTTCACATGGCCTGCCTTTGCCAGAGCTCTTGCCTGTTTTCTGTACCACGTTGGCAGCCAGAGCTTGCAGGTCTAAATGAAGCGTTACTGAACAAAGGCACTTTCTGTTTTGAACTCTGTGCCCTGAGTCTACACCACCAGCCTGGCCCGGCATTTATGTTAAATAAGGTCAACAAATATAGGCAAGCTGTGTTTTGCAAATTAGAACAAAACAAAACAACAACAACAACAACAACAAAAAAGCCTTTCTTTAATTCTGCCCTCTTTCTTGTTTCTCAGGCAAGAAGAGAAACCCTGGGCTGAAAATTCCTAAAGAAGCATTTGAGCAACCACAGACAAGCTCCACGTAAGTCTGCAAACACTAAGGGAGAATGAAAAGAAAACCACCAACCCCAGCTGCCTCCCAGCCTTTGCCACGGCCGGGTCACGGCCAGCACCCGGGGCTCCTGTGTGTGGGTCTGGGGTAAGGGCAGGAACACGAGGGACAGGGACAAAACCCCCAGGTTAATGCCAGCACCATTACAGGAGGTTAATAACACCCCTTGTGTTTCTCTTGTAGCCCCAGGGACGAGCAGGGGGGCTCAGCCCATCACCCTCTGCCCATCACCGCCCCTGGTCCATGTCTCACGTCTTCACGATGTGCCCAGGAAAAGGGAAAAGCAGATTGGGGACCCGATTTTACCCCATGTGGCACTTCTGCCACCCCGTTTGAGGAGCGTGTGTTTGGTCAAAGCATAAAAATGCATCCCCTTCCCTGCAGACTCGGCCTCGCAAAGGGAAACCCTGGGTTTTTAAGGCAGTTTGTGTAACTCCAGCCTGCTTGGCTTTCTTTGCTTCCTTGAGGACTGACTTTTATTAGGCTGTTAACCCGTGCTGTGTGACTTGGGTAATCATTTACAGCGCTGTGAGGCCTTTATGCACATTTAATCCCTTTTTCATACGGGCTGGCCAGGATTTGGTGCTCGCCACCTGGCTTGCCTTCTGCAATGGGTCTCTCTGGGTTCCTGCACAGGGACATTGGGTGTGAGAAATGCCAACTCCTGCAGCGTCCTTCCTCACCCCTTTTTGGGGTGACTTTGTGGATCTTGGCTATATCTATTGATCCTACAAGGCCACGAGGCTGGTCAGGGCTGCTGGCCTGGGGTTGTGAGAGGATGGTCTGGGGGACCAAGGGGTTGTATTTAGTCATTTAGGGAAAATTGGTATTTATGGAGAACATTTCACATCTTTTCTCTTTTCTCTCCTGCAGGCCACCCAGAGATCTTGACTCCAAAGCCTGCATCTCTATTGGCGAGGAGGTAAGTCATGGTGAGAAGACCTCTTGGGCCAGGCGACCATCCTGGGCTGGTTGCTGTGGTGCTGGCAGCTTGTCCAGGAGGGCTGCTCCTGGTATTGATTAACTTCAGCCCCCCAAAAGAAGGGCAGACTAATAAAAAACAGCTAGTAAAAAAAAATGCAGCCCATTTTGCTTGAAATGGAAGACAGTTGCTGGATGAGTAAGAGCTAAGAAGAGCCAGCCTGGGAGCTTGTGTGAGCCTCGACAGCCACCTCCACCTCCAGCCAGAGAGAGCTGAGTAGCATCTGGTGTTTGTGCTTCTCCAACACGGGCTGTGTGGGATGATGGCCCCATGGCCAGCTGCAGTGTCACCTACTGCCTGTCACCGCTCTGATGAACGTGCCCCACACGCTCACTCTTTGCATCCCATCACACCTGGGTCCCCTTTGTGTTTTCCACCTTGGAAACTCCTTCCTTGCCTCAATATGAGTGCAGCTGATCCCCCGGAAATAAGGATTATAAAACAAGGGGATTGCTAGCAGCAGGTTTTACTCTCCTTTGCAGCTCCTTTGCTGATTTAAAGCCTTCATCCGAAACATTTCCCTTTGCTCATATTGAAGGCCATCTCATCTGGAGTCTAACTCAGGGTAGATCCTCCTGTCCTGGAAGCAAATCCTTCTGACAGCATGGAAACCAGTCCACCTGATGTTCTCAAAAACATAGCAGGGGAAAAACAAAACCGAGGACAGCTATTTTGATAGGAGAAAATGGCCCAGCAGCATTCATAAAAGCACTTTAAAGCTGGGTATTAAATTTATTAGGTGCAAAAGATAGGTCTTGGTGTCAGCAAATTAATTTATGAAGTGAAACGCTAATCCAATAGTGTTTTATAATGTCTATCTTTGGATGGTTTTCTTGCATTTTGTATTTTGTATTTTCCCTGGCATGGAGCGGGGGCTGGAAGGTGGAAAGAGTCTGGGATGCCTTTGGAGTGAAATGGTGCAGCACCGCGGCAGGAAAAACGCCTGCTGCTGGAGCAAGCGCCCGCTCCAGGAAAATAATTTCTCCCCTGCCATCCCAGGGGTGAAGAAAAGCTCAAACGCTCCCAAAAAGGCCCCATGCACAGAGGCAGAGAACTCATAGAATCACAGAATCATATGGGGTTGGAAGGGACCTCTGGAGATCATCAAGTCCAACCTCCCCCACCGAAGTGGGTCTACCTAGAGCAGGTTGCACAGGATCTTGTCGAGGCAGTTTTTGAATGCCTCCAGAGAAGGGGACTCTACCCCCTCTCTGGGCAGCCTGTTCTGATTTTCCCCCTTGCAATCTCACTTTTGTCTCCTGTCTGTTTGCCATTATTCGGTGCAAAGAGAAATGCACTTGTAGAACCCAGAGCTCGGTGTTTTTTGAGGCTGGAGATGGGTGGCTGTCTCAGAGGGACTTGCATTTCCATGGAGCTGTTACCCGTCTGTCCAGCCGCGTTCCTGTAGGACGTGCTCCCTCTTCCACCAACCAGCCTTTCTACACTCCCCCCATCCCTGGGGAAAGCCACTTTCCCTCCTCTCCTTTTTAACTTCCCCGCTACATTTAAGAGCGGCCTTGAGAGAGTCCAAGTGCTTTTCTGGAGAGGGTCCTGTTGAACAGTCGGAGCAGTGTCAGTCGGATGCTTAAATCCCTGCCGTGGAGCACAAAAATGTTAGTCAGGGCTCCTTTTGCAGGCGACGGAGCTGGGAGGGAGCGCCGGGGCGCACAGTAGGGCAGTGTACAGGCCCTGCGTGCCATGGCATCCCCAGCCAGCACTTTTCAGGCTGCAGGTTTTTCTTTTTTTTTTTTCTTTTTTTCTGCTGCGCCGGCAAAAAGCGGTGTGGGATTATGCGCCGTGAATCAGTTCATTATAACCCGCTTCTTTCTGGAGGATGATTGACTGATGTGGTTGTGCCTTCAGCAAACAGAATGGCTGGTTTTAGTAGAGAAGGGCGTATTTTAAACATCCAAAAATAATAATAAGCAAAAAATAGAGCCTGCTGCACAATATCACGGCAGAGGGGAGAAGGGCAGGTTAGAATGCAGGGTTCCAAACAAAGTCATCCTTTGTGTGAGGCCAGGAGAAAAGAGATCTCGAATGCTAGACAAAATAAATCCTCCGTGGTATGAAAACGGGGCACACTCAGCTGGTAGTTGGCCCATCCACAGGTCTGGAGAAATGAGCTTTTACAGGCCTTAAAAAACCCTGGAGATATTTCCGTGATTGTTTGTGGGAGGAGAGGGATGGAAGGGGAAAAAAAAAAAAAAGACTGAAGGTGATTCCTACGGGAGAAGCTGCCGAGGCATTTTCCATCCCAGCCCTGAGAGGATGGAGAAGCTGAAAGTGGCAGTGGCTAAAGGTGGATGGAGGGACAGGCGGGTGTGGGTGGTCCTGGGGACAGCATCCCACCGAAGGAGTGGTCCTTCCTGCGCCCGCGCTCAGGATGCTCATCAGGATGCTCATCAGGATGCTCCCTGCTCCTGCCGTGATGAGGCACGTTGTTTTCAGAACTCTGCTAATTACCACACAGGAGTTAATCCTCCTGACAGCCCCCGAGGACTGTGATATTTTTTCTAGATTATTTTTTTCCAGCTTTTTCTACCCCAGCAGGGAGGGGGATGCACGGAGGTGAATTGATTTGCCAAGCAGGGCTGGGTTTTAGGGGAGCTTTGCTCCTCGCAGAGCACGTACGCGCAGCCTTCGCCCTGATGGTTCTTCTCCCCCCGCAGAACTTTGAGGTGAAAGCCGATGACCTGGAGCCCATCTCCGAGCTGGGACGAGGTGCGTACGGGGTGGTGGAGAAGATGCGGCACATGCCTAGCGGGCAGATCATGGCAGTGAAGGTAGAGTGAGCCTCCCGAGGTGTTTCTGTCTGTGTCATTCTCATCTCGCTTGCTCTGACGCGTGCCTTTCCTGGGACCCGCTCCTTTCCTCACGGAATCCTCTTTCTATACACAGGCCAAAGAGTGCCGAGGCAGATTTTTGGGCCATTTAACCATGGAAAGGGGTTTGTTTTAAAAGTACGATGCTCGGTGTGTTTCCAGCATCGTGGTGCACACAAACATGTTGTTCATCTATGTCTGCAATATTCCTGTTTTCGCTAGGATTTTACAAGCTATTTGCCATCATTTTTTAAATACATGTATTTTTTTCTAATGTACATAGACCCTTGGACTCAGGGCCCTGCGCACTAATTGTAATTGCAGAGAAGAGTGTACTGTAAATTTAATTGCCTAAGAGAATTTTCTTCGGCTGGGACTTTTTTAGTCTTTTTGGAACAGGATATTTTTGTTGGGATTTTCACTTTGTCTGCTACACTGGGGTCTTGATTCATGGCAGGCTTGTAGGTGCTATTATGAAAAGTTTTCATAACAACACTTTAGACTTGTAAGCTTGCAGCTTGGGGAAGTAGTCATGGGAAAAGTTGTATTTTGGGAAGGACCAATTTTTGCTTGGCTGAATTTTAGCTCAAGTTTCCTTTCAGAGTAAGAAAAAAATAAAAAAAAAAAAGATGCCGAGCTGGAAGCTCTGAGCAAACTGAAGGACAATTCTTAGCTCCTCAGCTGTGGATAGACTTTGCTGGGGATGCTCGGAGGTTTCTCATGGCTTCTGTGCGCTGCATTTGCTCTTCGTGTTTGCTCTGACGTTCAGCAAACTGCAGAAGACCTCTCTGATGGAAGATCTGCAGGGGGTTCTAACAGGAACATTCAGGCTATTACTTGCATCTGCCATGCTGAACAGTTTAATTCTGTCACATTACTGACCTCGAGTGGCTTTGGCAAAGGAGCCTGTGGCAAGTCCTCTGCAGCAGCAGCAGCAGCAGCGTGGTACGGAGGTGCTGACAGCCAATGCTAAAATGCTTTGTCTTCCAGCGGATCCGAGCCACAGTGAACAGTCAGGAGCAGAAGAGGTTATTGATGGATCTGGATATCTCCATGAGGACGGTAGATTGCCCCTTCACTGTCACCTTTTATGGGGCACTTTTCCGAGAGGTATGGCATCCTGGAGATCAGGTGCAGTGTCCCCCTGGGAGACTGGGTCCTCTCCCAGGCTTTGAATTCTCATGCCTAGACTCCTTCCAAGAGCCAAGGGTTTAATCTCCATCGTACCATGGAGACTTGGTACGATATGGATTTGCTCAATCCCAGCCTAAGGATCCATCACGTACGGTTCCCTCTTGGTGAGCAAGGAGAGATGTGGTCCTACGTGAGGAGGGACCAAGGGCAGCCAAGCCCCAGTGCCAGGAATGTCCGAGGCCCCTGGGCTGAGATGTTGGGGCTTGGTGGTGGGTCTGAGTGATGGGGACAACCAACTCACAGCCTGATCCCTTAGTGTTAATATTGTCCTGACTTGCAATGAGAAAGCCACATGGAGGAAAAATGTGGAAAGCTCTGAAGAACAAGATTTATTGAAGAGTTTTAAGCGTTGCTCTGCAGAGCTGAACTTTTCCTGGCTGAGCATTTGCAGTGACCTGAGCACGTAGGGAACCTCATCCCCGATAACTTTCAGGACTCCTAAATCACTGGGACTCTGCTTTGGGAAAAGACAGCAGAAAATACACCCTAAATGGTAGTGGACAGCACTTCATTCCAGCTGGGGAGGAGGGAAAGAGAAGGCCCAGTACAGCTTTGTTGGATGACTTTTAAAAGACAGGGAAAAGGCAAACAGGCCAGCAAAAGGCAAGTGCCAAAGACCTTTGCGCGTGAAAGGAAAGGATGCTTCGTTCCAGTGGGCAGATATTTGCTTTCTTTGTCCTCCAGGGAGATGTCTGGATTTGTATGGAGCTGATGGATACCTCACTGGACAAGTTCTACAAACACGTCATTGACAAAGGCCTGACGATTCCTGAGGATATCTTAGGAAAAATAGCTGTCTCTGTGAGTATTAGCAGGGTGAGGAGGGACAGGAAAGGGTGTTTCTCTTCTAAACCAAGGCCTGCATGGCCCAGTGACCCTGCTGTATTGGCACCAGGAAGAGCATGGTCCATGGGCCAGCCCATGTGAGCATTCTTAGCTGGCTTCCAGTGTCTGGTCTGACAGGATGTTATTTATAAGGCATAAGTGTCTGTACACGTAGTTGGGAGGTTGCACAGCGTTAGATGTGGGGAGGGCCCTGCAGCTCCTTTGCTTTCTCATGAGTGTCCTGGTGCCCCTGAGAGATCCCTGGGTGCCCGCTGTCACCTCCGAAAGCTGTGAGGGTGCAGGACTTGTGGGAGATGTAGTTCCTGGTCTCCTGGTGGAGAGGAGGCCCAAGGAGGTCTCCAAGAAGATCTGGTGAGGATGGGGCTGGTGGAGATAGCATTTCCAGATAGCATACCAGGTAGCATTTCTTCCTCACCACGGTGTTGCCAGCTGTAATTCACTCTAGATTTATCGTTTCAGATTGTAAAAGCACTGGAACATCTACACAGTAAGCTCTCCGTGATCCACAGAGGTGAGTGCCAGGCACACAGCCACAACCGTGCCGGTGTCTGTCTGCCCTGTGACACACACTCTCAGTGCAGGGCTCCCAAAATACCTGAGATAAAACGGGTCTTTAGCAGCAAAAAGTATTCCCCAGCATCTCATGACTAGCAAAGCCCAGTCAGAGGAAATGTCTGCTGGTCCCAGCGTTTCCCCAAGGGGCAGAAGGCAGCTCCAGCCTGATGGTGCTGGCAAAGAAACCCCGGTTTTCCTCCTGGGTTGCATTTCCCTAGTGCACAGTCTGAATCCATGGTCTGCTTCCACACCTCTGCAAAATTCAAACAGACTTTTCCTGCTGACCCTGGTGGGCTTTGGATCAGGCTTTGGGGAGGCTTCTCCCCAGGCTTGGTGGCTCCACATTGATGTGGAGTGAGAGGCGTCTCCGTGCCAGCGTGATGCCTCATGCAGTGATCTAACCATCCCCTTCTGCGAGCTACCCGGAGCTCTGGTGGGGCAGAGTAGTGTTATACCTAAAATAGCCTTGAGTGAAGTAATAAAATACCCTCCTTAAACTCTTCTGACATGTTCCCCTCTGGAGCATCTCAAAGATGCCATGAACACGCTTAGGAAGAAACAAATTTGCAGTGTTGCTGCTTGACACCCTTATTTTTCAAGGACTGTTTTCAGTTTTGTGGTGAGGAGGAAAAAGCCCTCTCTGGAGTGTGTGAGAGCTGGGGAAAGGAGCATCTGAAGCGAGCGGGGCTCAGCTCTAGCAGGCAGTCACATCTTGTACATTCTGCTTGTGGCTGGGGGTTGAGTTTCTGCCTTCTGTATCATTGACAGTAGGTGGAAAATGCTGCTCGGCTTCTGGATTTCTGTTTACTTGTTTGATTTCCACTGAAAATTGTCTCATTTCAGCGTAGTAACAGATGGGTGAGGATCTCAGATACCTGAAGCTTTTGATTGCAAAGTGCTGATTAGAGACCAGATGTTAAGGCACTGTAAACCACCCAACCCTAATAAGCAGGACTCAAAAGCAGCTTCTGGCCTCCTTTGGATGGTGTTTCAGCTCTCCTATTTAATAGTTTATCACGTGTAGACAGAGGACCTTCTTGCAGAAGAGACCTCTTATTTCTGGCTGGCAACAGGGAAGGGGATGCTGCATTTTGAGGATCAGTGCTGGGACAAGGGAGAAGGGGGTAGCCTGCGCTACCTATACTGGGTTGAGGTTCCACCTGCGGTCACCTCCACGCTCTCATGGCTACCACTTACTGGCTCCTTTCTGTGCCTTGATTTCCCTTTCTGATGGTGATTATAACTGCCTTCATGAGCATGATGCAAGTGTGAGTGCTCCAAGGATTAGAAGGCCGTGATGGGAAGCAGATAAATCTGGCAGTAATAAATAGATGAGACACTGGCCTGATTTCCATAAGGTGTGGAGCACCCACACGCCTGCTGCTGTTTGTGTTGCCTTCAAGCTTGCTGTCCTTAAAATTAGAGGGCAATTCTGAAATCTTGATCCTTGTCTCAGTTTACGGCTCCCTCCTTCCCCTGCAACCCCTGCTCCTCTTCACCCTTGTCCACCCCTCATCCTTTCCCCACGGGTTTTCCCTTGTGCTGGCATGAGACCAGCTCCAGCTGGGGACTTCCCAGAGCTCCAGCCCCTTTGCAGACATCCTCTGGAGGTGTCTCCAGCCCTGCTGAGCTGTTCCCTTGGGAGAGCTCTGATGTTCGTGGCCATCCCCTGCTCGATAGGATGCGATGGCTACATGCAGGGTTACCTCCCTCACCCCCCCACAAAAAGTCTGGAAGTGAAGGGACACTTGTGGGACGTATGACAGGCCCATGAGAGGTCACCTGAGCTTGTGTAGCTGCAGCCAGGCGGGTTTCTGGCGTGCACAGGGCACAGGGATCTGCATGGGCAGCTCTGGTGCCCTCTGCTGATACAAACCTCTTTGGCTTCTTTCTTTTTTTTGGCTTCTTTTTTTTTTTTTGGCTTGGCACAGCCACCTACTCCTGACAGTGACTGTGGTATGTGTTCCTTCTTGCAGATGTAAAGCCCTCTAACGTGTTGATCAATACGCAGGGGCAGGTGAAAATGTGCGATTTTGGAATTAGCGGTTACCTCGTTGACTCGGTTGCTAAAACCATGGATGCAGGATGCAAACCCTACATGGCTGTAAGTTGAGCCGGGGAGAAGCTGTGTGTGAAAGCTGCTGGTGGGACAGCCAGAGGAACATGAGCCTGGGCATCGGGTCATCCCGGAGAGGGACGGATCAGCCTCTGGCATGTGTCCTGGGGACTCGTTTTGGAAGACGGATCCAAAGTTCCTTGTAAAGGGGCAGAGAAGGGAGATGGATCTCATGGGTCAGATCAGATCTCCTGGGCACAGCTTCTTGCTGCCTTATCACCTCCCTGTGACCTTGGGGGAGGCTCTGCAATTGCTCCGTCTTGCATTTTTGCTGTTTGCCCTGTGGGGACAATAGTACTTTCCATCTGGGAGGAAAACAGTCCTCAGGTGTCCCCCAGGGTCCTTCAGACTCCTGTTCAGGTTTTGCTCTCTGTGGAGCACTTGCACAGGGTGAAAATGGTCCTGGAGATTTGGGGCTTGTCACCCTCTATGTGCCAGATGTGCTGGGTCGGCTCCACCACTGCAGTCCCTACCATCTGCTTCTGGTGACCTTCACTGCTTGCCTTTACTGGCAAGGGTGTGGGACCAGATCTGGCCCCATGACAACCAAGGGAGCAAGCTGGTGGCATGGGCTAAGTGGTCCTGGCCTGCCACCATGAAAGACCCCACTGAGGTCGGTGAGCCCTGGGTGCGGACATCGTGCTGGGGTCATCCCTGTTCCTCAGCCACATTTTGTCTCTGTTCACAGCCGGAAAGAATTAACCCGGAGCTGAACCAGAAGGGGTACAGCGTCAAATCCGACATCTGGAGCCTGGGGATCACAATGGTAGGGTGACCTGGGGGCTCGCAGTGATGCTGGGAGGCTTGAGGGTTGCTCGTGGATTCATTTTCCTCCCCATAGCCCCCCTGACACGGGTGGCACTGGTTCCCTTAGAAGGTGGCAGGGTGGGAATGGGAATAGAGGTGCGGGAGTAGCGAGGAGCGTGCCACAGGGCTGAAGGGAAGGAGGATGGAGATGCTTTGTCAGGTCCTTGCTGTCCTTGGAGGCGGTGGCGGGGTCCCCACCCGGGTGGGGACCACCCCGCTGCGGTGGCCGTGGGCTGCCGGGAGATGGCAGCATGGGCTAAGGCGAGGGCGTCCGGCGCCGCACAGCTGTCGCCTTGGAGCAGGTTGGATTTCAAGCACACAAAAAAAATAAATAAAACGCACAGCTGTCGCCTTGGAGCAGGTTGGATTTCAAGCACACAAAAAAATAAATAAATAAATGCTCCCAGCAATCAGCAATTAGCAAAGTCCCCCTCAGAAGAGGAGGGATGGGTGATGCCTCCCACGCAGCGTTCAGGGGGAACCCATCTGCTCCCGGAGTTGTTTTATAGTGCAGTTACCCTTTGCAACGTGTTTTTTAACTTGTAACTTTCCCAAGCACGGACACGAGGGTACGGAGCATTGAATATGGAGATGGCCGTGTCTCCTCAGGCCTGTCCCTTTTGCTGGGGGAGGTTAAACAAGACATTGGGGCCAGGAAATGCCACTTATTTGTGCGGGCTTCAAAAAACAGATCCCTGGGTGGGCAGAGAGGAATCTGAAATGTGTGGGGCGGGAGGGTGAGCCGTGGGGTGTCTGCCCCCCATGCCTGAGGCGTGGGCTCTGTCTCCCCAGATCGAGCTGGCCATCCTGCGCTTTCCCTACGACTCCTGGGGGACGCCCTTCCAGCAGCTCAAGCAGGTGGTGGAGGAGCCGTCGCCACAGCTCCCGGCAGAGAAGTTCTCAGCAGAGTTCGTCGATTTTACCTCGCAATGGTAAAATATCCCCATGGCCCTGCTCCCCCTGGTCCCCTCACCCCGCCATGCTGCGGGCAGGCTGAGGAGGGCAGGTGCCGGCCGCCTCCAGCGTCCCCATCCCCACGGGTGCAGGGGTACAACCCAAATTCTCTGGAGTACAACCCAAATTTTTGAACACAACAGTACCTTTTTGGGTTTTCATGGCCTCACTGAGCCGTGAGGGCCGGGCTGGGGCCTGGCGCTGTGCAGACAAGGCGCACCCTTTGTCAGAGCAGCGGTGATGGTGGTCATGAGGAGTCTTCCCTGCCCGCGGTGGCGAGGAACAGGCTTGTTCACTTTGCAGGGGACACTCAGGAGGAAAGGATTTAGGAGGCTTTCTCCATCCCCACATCAGCAGCACAGGGTGTCTGTGGCCGGGCCGGCATGGCGGGCAGGTGCGGGCAGGAGGGTCCTCCAACATCCCCTCATGGCTGCCTCCTCCTGCCTCCCGCTCCCTGAGGGGCACAGCTCTGAGGGCAGGGGGCTGCAGCGTTCACCCCGCCATGGCCCCCCTGGGCGGCCGTCCCACTTACCAGGGCTCTCCGGCTGCTGGGACTCGGAGCTGGAAGCAGCGGGAGAGTTTGGCTGTGGCGTAGGAAAAGGGTTGGAGCAGATGCGCGCTGTCTGGAGGCTGCGAGAGCTGCATGAAAGCCCAGGCTCTCCCCGCGCCCGAGGAGACTCGCAGCTGCCCTCGGCGTATGGTTCAAAGAGAGCTGGCGGCCGCCCCGCGGCTCCTGACTGCTGCTCCCTCCAGCTTCCCTGGAAACCGCCTGGGAGGCTTTTTTTTTTTTTTTTTTTTTTTAGCAGTTGACAACTGCCCAGCAAAAGCAGCCTATGTTTGCAGTCACTATTTTAGGCTACATCACATGTCAATTACATAAACTTGTTTTACTGCTCTTGAACTGGTTCGAACAACCTGGGAAAGAGATTAGGGCAGTCCCTCCCAGCCGGCCATCCGCATGCGACGGCAGGACCCGTCCCCCATTGTGGGGTTTTTTTTTTTTTTTTTTTTTTATTTTCCAGGCGCTTCAGTGCCATCCGCCGCTTGCCAACTTGGCAGGTGGCTGGTGGGTTTGCCTGGTGGCCAAGAAAGGACGGCAGATCGACAAATACAGAAATGTGAGACTGTTCCCGAGCTGCCAGCGTCGGGGCCTGGAGCCCGGCCGGCTCTGTTGTGACCCAGGAAGGGGATTATCAGCCACTCCTGCCCGGGGACTTTAAGTACCGACATTCACATTATTCGGAGTCTTGTTCAAACATGTTTTCGAGGTCTGTGTGATTCAGCTGCACGCCTCTCCACCGACCCGCGCTGGGGAATACCTGCCCGTGCCCACACTGCTCTGTGTCTGTCAGAGGTGGGAGCTGCCTTGGAAAAACCCTCTCACGAAATGCCCACCGTTTTTGCAAGGCCCACGCTGAGAATTTGGGCCGGCTGCCTTTCTCCCATGCTGCTGGCTCACTCCTTCTTGTTGCAAAGTTGCCTGCTGGTGCCAGGCAGGCTGTTGTTCCCCACTGAACATTTTGCTTTTGCGAGCATGGTGCCTTGCAGCTGTAGCTGTGGGCTGATTTGGGAGTAAGATATCCACAGCCATTCGTGGTGGTTGCAGTGAGAAGAATGACCCCACTGAGCAGCACTCATGTTTTTAAAACTCATGCTTTTTGGAGCATGTGGCGGTTCCTCTCTTTGCAAATCCTATCCACCAGGCTCACTGAAGGTTCTTCAATGCCGGTGGAGTGGCCTGGACTTGGGAAAGGGAGCTTTGGCTGCAGATTGCTCTAGTTTTATGTTGTTGGAGTCTGAGAATTTCTTCTGACACCGAACCAGGGCACATCAGCTCAGTGTATTGAGATTGGCCTGGCTTAGGGTTGTCTCAGATTCAGGAGGTCGCAGAGTGAGTGAATCACACCATCTGCTGCCTGGGGCAGCCAAATCTGATTACCTGTAGCCACTGCAGGCAAGTTCCTGGGATGTCTGAGTCAGGATTAGATCCAAATACGGCTCTTCATTCCTGAATATTTACATTGATTTTGGTAACTTGTCACCAGATTTCCTGGTATTAGTAACCTGGGAACAAGGTTTTTGTTTGTAGAGAGTCTAAATTAGGAGGATTATACCCAAATCCTGCTTCTGGACACACCTAACCTTCAGATTCACCTTAGCATCTCGGCTTGGGCCGCTTTTGAGCTCAGAGGATGTGACACGTCCCGTACCTTCAGTTCGGCAATATTGGCACGTATCGTTACTAGGTTCCTCTCTGTTCATTCACAACATGACACTAAACATGAGCCCGCTACACACAGCAAGCAGGAAATATCTATTCAGTGTGTGTCCTCCGCTTCCTCTGGGCTCCGGCAAATCCCAGCAGAGGAGCGACTTATCATCACCGAGGTTCTCACTTTTGTTTTGCTCAGTGTGACACCTTTTCCCCACCACCGACGTGTACGTGTGTGAAGATCTTTTCAAGTTGCTCCAAGTGTCTTTCCCCTAAATACACTGTCAGGAAGTGAGTAGAGATTACGTCCTGTCTTTTAAAAGCTATTTTCTGCTGGAGGGAAACCAAAATAACTTCCAGCTACAACCCTCCAGAGCCATCTGTTGTAGGAGGGGAGAAAAAAAGGATGTCCCATGTAACCGTCCCTGCTGATAACAGCACGGTGATAAACAAATAGTTGTACACGTGCTTCAGAACCACTTGGTCACCGCTCCCAATCAGAGGTTGGAGGCTGATTCCACTCCCTTGGTCACTGGCCTACTGGGTAGTGCCCCAAAAAACAGTTGTGCCTGGCCCCCAGCAACAGGCAGGGTGTTGACTGGTATATATGGTGTCTCCGGATCTCTTGTTTGACCTTGACTGGGCTCACTGGGCTCGTGTACCCAGCACTGTGTACCGTTGGTGGCCCATCTGCAGCCTGTGTTGGTTGTAGGTGTCCTCAAGGCCCGAGCTATTCATTTAACATACAGATGAGTTGTTGAATTTACTCTACAGGGACTTGGAACCTTGCTTTTGTCATGGTATAATTTTATAGCCTTGCTTAGTTGCATAAATAATGTAACTTTTAATATTTTTTCTTCTTTTTTTTTTCCATTAAAGCTTGAAGAAGAATTCCAAAGAACGGCCAACGTACCCGGAGCTTATGGTGAGTGTGCCTGCATTAAGCAGTGTACTGGTTCAGAGCTGAGATGGATTACAGTGAGGTGCTGAGGACAGGGTTTCCAGTAGTGCCCGGTGATGTGGCATACTTAGCATCTCTGTTTTCATAACACATGTGAGAATCATGGCTCTTCAGGGTTTTGGAGGGGTGACTGCAAATCAGAGATGCTCTTTGAAATGTCCTTCAGGTGCTATTCCAGTCAGATCAAGGAGAAAATCATGGAAAAGCAGTTAACAAATTTGCTAAGGGAGAAGAGTGAGGCTGTGAAGAGTCAGTTAGTGAGGATAAAATCCCCTTCTTGGGTTTGTGTGATGGCTTCAGACACCTATGTGAAGTGCATGCTCCACAGGTGCTCCACTTGGGCTGCAGGAGCTGAGGGGTCTGCAAGGCTTTACTGTCGTGGTGCCTTGGAGAGAAGACTCTTTGGACAGAGTAATTTCTGGATGTTAGGGGCAGAGACGAGTCTGTGAGTAATAATTCCGGTTATTGAATTTCATCTGCTGCTTAGAGACTGTTTGCTGTGAGCACGTCTAGGACAGAGGAATAACTAAGGAAGAAGGTGCTGATGAAGGCTGACGAGGAGGGAAGCGCAGGGCAGCGCGGGGCTTTGAGGGCAGATGCACTTAACGGGTGATGAACTCCCAGCAGGGCAGACACTGGTGTTACTCAGCCAGAGCTCTGGGCTGGAGCTGGCAAGAACAGGGTGAGATTTTTCTGCTAGGGCTCCACAGCTTCGTGGCCTCTCTCTCTTCTGACTTTCTGATGTTGGTCCTGGTGCTCCTAATGGTCAGCAAAAAGCAGGCGAGCTTAGGAAGTCAGCGTCTAGTCCCTTTGTCACTCTCACCTGATCACAGCTTGCTAAAGGCAGGAAGGTGCCTAACTTTGTCATTTCTGAAGCTCCTGACCCAAATGCTTGCCTGCCCCTACATTCCCACCCCTGTCAGTGCCACTGGCAAGATCTTCTGGGTTAAGAGTGGGAACTGCTGGAGAATTTCCTCAGGTGTTGGTGTCTCCTGCCCCATAACTTGTAGGAGATAATGCACCATGTCATCCAGGGGGTCACCTTCATTGCTACCTCACCCTGCCTGCTCTGAAGTGTTAGGACCTCTGTGGTGTGAAGGTGCCAGGGTTTTCAGGTGCTTTCTGACTGCAAGACGTGCTGGAAATCCAGGTATCTTTTGAACCTGAGTTGTTAGCAATGAATAATTCCTGTGGCAGTTTTTGCTGGGCCCTGTAATGCAATTAGACTATATATAGATCTGATTTACACACAGTTTGCCCAAATACTGGTTTCAAACAAAGGGAGGCCTGAGGTTTATGGCTTCCCCCCCTCCCCCCTTTTTTTTTATTATTGAGTAAATACATATATATTTTAAGCAAATTTCTAAAGTTTGCCAAATGGCCTTTTATCAAAAAGGTTCACCAGAGCAGCTCCGTCTGTTGCAGCATTAATACCCATTGGCAAGCGAGTGCATTTCTATTGAATTAGGTTCTTGGATCACCTCTCCGGAGTATCTCAATGCTGTGGTATTTTATGGCTGACATGAATGTTGTGAGGTCCTGTGGTTGAGGGTTGCTGTTTTGTTGGGGTTTTTTTTTTCCCTCCTCTCTCTCTCATGGCATTAAGTTGCGGTACTGGATTGGACTTGTCATTTCGACCAAGACTGCTCCCTTGCTTTCCTGTGGAATTGAGGTTTCTCATGGAAAATATGACTCTGGGCTATCTTGAGCATCAGGAAAACTGATACGGATGCTTAATTTCGTTTTAAAACCCACTTCCCCAGGTGAAGTGGAGCATGAAACTACTGCAGGACTGGTGGTCTGCACATTGCATGGAGCACATCCCGCCTGGCACGGGGTGCTTTGTGCTATAACCAGGCTCAGTCGTTGCAAAAGGGCTGGGTGTGGTGACAGACAGGGCTGGAGGCCACCCTTGCCACCCGTGTCACGCTTGCGGGTGCTTCCAGGCGGCGGGAGCTCTGCTTTGGGTGTGATTGAGCTGGGATGTGAAGGCAGCAGCATCACGCTGGGATAATAACACAGCAGGCCATTTGGGCCACCTCACCGAGAGTTATTCAGGACGCTTCGATTCCCGTGACTGTCTGACCCAGGGAGACCTTAAGTTATGGCTGGATCCTTGCCTTAGCCCATTTCAGCTCTGTTTCCCACATAATTGTGCTTCCTCTTCCTTGCGAGCGTGTCTTTGGGTCGCTTCCCGGCTGCTCGGAGCTGCCTCTTTATATTCACTGGATAACTTTCTGCTCAAGCCCACCTTGGAAAGTCTTTTTTTTTTGCTCTTCTTCTCCCTCCACTTGGCCACTGCCATAGAAGATCACTGAAACAAACAATGCTCAGGGACTGAGGTGAGGGGCAGCTTTGAAAAACCCTGGAAACCCCAAATTCTCTTTAAAAATCTGGCTTCAAATGAGAGGGTTGGGAATCAAACCAAGCTCCTCCTGCGTATGGGAGGCACAGGAGCGTGTAGCACAGAGTGGAGGTGACCTGTGAGCCCCGCAGGACCCCAGCTGCCTTTTGGTCCTCTCTGACACACTCCATGCAAATAAATACAATGAGCTGCCAGGACTGTGGGTGTCAAACAGTGTTTGGTGATTTCAGGTGGAAGTTGGCTGATCTCAGCTGATGTTTTCATCCCCCGGTAGCAAACTGAGTCACTGGTTCTAGCAGAGAGGGGCTTTACTCTTGCTGTCAGGGGGCATTTGGTTGTGGTTTTTTTTTTTCTCCTTACACATATTTTTCCGTTTGTGCTGAAATGTAGGCAAGATTTTCTGGCAGGATGTCTTCCCATGTTGGTCACGATTAAGTAGTTAAACATACAGCTGCGGATGGCTTTCCAGCCGGGATGGCTTTCCTCTTTGCAGTGGTTTGGGGTAAAGTAGCCATCTCCTGCTGGGACTGTGAGCAATTGCAGGGAAGAAATGAGACTCAAAAGTCACCAGAGGGTAAATACACAGATAGAGCAGGAAGCTGAGGGAAAACGCACCGCAGTCAGCCTTCCTGCAAGGTTTTCCTTGCTGCCGTAGGAGCGCTGGGGTGGGTAACCACGGGCTCAGGAGGAGCACGTCTCCTCCCAGGGCAGCGTGTGCCGAAGGGCACGACGTCCTAGAGATGGAGGTGATGTGTTTTAATACTTCCCCTTGCTTTGAGAGCAGCCCAGCTTGGCCCTCCCAGCCAGGGCAGGCGTTAGAGGCAATCCACGAGGGCAGCACAAATCTGTAGCCTCCAAGAAGTGACCCCTCGGGCTCAGCTGCAAAACGTGGGGAGCCCAATGTTATAATACATCGAGTACTGTGTCCAGTTTTGGGCCCCCGACCATAAAAAAGACATTGAGGTGCTGGAGCGGGTCCAGAGAAGGGCGACAAAGATGGTGAGGGGTCTGGAGAATAAGTCTTGTGAGGAGAGGCTGAGGGAGCTGGGGGTGTTCAGCCTGGAGAAGAGGAGGCTGAGGGGAGACCTTATTGCTCTCCACAACTCCCTGAAAGGAGGGTGTAGAGAGATGGGGGTTGGTCTCTTTTCTCAAGTCACAGGCGACAGGACAAGAGGAAATGGCCTCAAGTTGCGCCAGGGGAGGTTCAGGCTGGATATTAGGAAAAATTTTTTCACTGAAAGGGTTCTCAGGCATTGGAATGGGCTGCCCAGGGAGGTGGTTGAGGCCCCATCCCTGGAGGTGTTCAAAAGACGGGTTGATGTAGTGCTGGGAGGTATGGTTTAGTGATGATGTTCCTTGTTTGTTGTGTGGGTGTCTATTTTTGTCAGTTAGGTTGATGGTTGGACAAGATGATCTTTAAGGTCCCTTCCAACCTAGAAGATTCTGTGATTCTGTGATACTAGCGACAAAATCTTTCTCACTGTCTAGAAGATTGTCTGAAAAGGTTTTCAGTTTGGTCCCCAGCGTCATGAATAATAAATTTTTCTACTTGTTCTCTCTTTTCTTTCCCAGCAACATCCTTTCTTCACCCTGCACGAATCCAAAGAGACAGACGTCGCCTCTTTTGTCAAACTCATCCTGGGAGACTGAGAACTGGACTTGTAAATGAATTGCCCTTCTGTGGACTGGTGGGTGCCGGGGAGGGGCGCGTGGCAGGACTTGTCATGAAAGCACCAACAGAAAGTCGCCGTGTTTTGTTTTGTTTTGTTTTTATTCTGAGAAACCCCCACCTCGCCGAAGTTTTTCAAAGGGTTCTTTGGTATCCATAGTGACATAGAACGAGCTGGTTAGTGAAATGAATTTTAATAAGGTTGGTAACCTTAAAACAAAAACAAAACAAAAAAAAATTTTAAAAGAGTGATTTACATATTTAATGACAGTCGAAGTCCCTCTTCCTAACTTTATCCTCATCCCCCTTCCCTTCCCCCTGAACCACAATTTGCTTTGTCATGGTAATAGGTGCTATGGTAGTCATGAAGTTGTATGTAGATTTATATTTTGTCCCTTCCATTATTTTAATATTTATGTTAAGTGCTTGATGGAATAGATTTCTGTTTTATATGAGGATGAATGCGTGGTGACGATGGTGTTGCTAAATGAGGCCACAGCAAGCAATAGTCGTCAGGGCTTTGCTGGGGAAAAGGTGTCAAAGGAAAAGAGAAAGAAGAGAAGAAGTGTCTGTGTTGTGGAAAATATTTAATGTGCATCATAAAAAGAATTTATAAACAAGGATCTCAGCTCAGCTACTCCAGCTGCTTTCGCAGCCTGTGAGGAAGCATCACTGTAAGGGAGGGAGGTCACCTCTTCTCCGGACACCGCACTTCGAGTCTGGCCTGTGGCCTGCGGGCACTGCCAGCTCCTGCCTGGGGACAGCCCCTGCCCTGTGTCCCACCGACTTACTCTGCTGGATCGGGCGGGTAATGAGTTCTGGAGCGGGAACAGATTGCTGGTTTAGTGTCTGGGACAAAAGCCCCCAAGGGAACTAGATTGTCAGAGAAGTTGCACAAAGCTCACGAGGAGGCTGCGGGGGTCGGTCCCCGCCAGCCCAGCAGCACCACAGCGTCTGGGGCTCCCTTGGGCTGGGGATGAACTGCTTTGGGCCTAAAAGGGAGTTCCTCTTTCCTCTCCTCCAGATGAGAAAGGATAACAGTCTGCATAGCACGACATGGGGGAAAAAAGGGGCTATCTCAGTGTGAGTTTCCAGGGCAGTGATCCCTGTGTGTGTGCCCACAGAGGGGAGTGCTGCAGAGAGCTCCCCTGAGCCCCTGCCGGGATGCGGTTTGGGCCGTGTCCAGCTCTGGTCGGGATGCCAAAGGCAGCCAGGAGCACTGGGCTGCGGCGTGGGCTGCAGGTGTCCCCCACAGGACCTGCAGCAGGGAAACCACAGCCCACCCAAACCTGGAACTCGTTGCTGTTGGCCAGTTCCTCAGAGAAAAGCTGCTAGCCAAGGGCAGGGGTGCGGGAGCTGTCAGGGCGGGAGGGGAGGACGGCAGATCACGCTGCTTTTAGGTAACATGGTTACTGTCTAAAGAAAAGGGAGACCGTGCCCTGCAAGGTGTTGCTGTGAGTCTGGAGCAAGGCCACAGGCTCCAGGTTGATGCTGGTTTGACTGAGCCAAACCTGTGTAGCTGCCTCGCTTGGCTGTGGGGTCCTCTGCCTTTGCTCCTTCCCCCGGCCCTGCAAAGGAGAATGCCTGTGTGTGTGGCTGTGCCAGAGCATGCACACATGCCCCGTGCCCCTCCACATGCTTCTCTTCCCCATCCATCGCATCGCTTTGACTCTTGGAGTCAAATCCCAGCGAGAAGCAGGCCTTGCTCTGCAATATTTAAGTTGTGCAGTGTGTCATTCAGCCTGGGATCCATCCTTTTCTCTCCCGGTTGAGTGGCTGCAGTCTTTGTTGGTGCCTGTTGGGCTTCTGGACTGGCCTGAGTGTCTGTTTGGAAAGCGACCCCTTGGAAGGGCTGGTGGGGAGGACAGTATTTGGAACAGGGGATCCCCAGTGGTGGTACCTCCTGTGCTAGGGACATGCGGACCACTTCAAAGAGGTGCATGTAGAAACCAGCAGTGCCTGAGCTGCCACCGTCACCGTCCCCGCCGTGGCTGGCAGTGCCCGCAGAGGTGGCTGTGGAGCCCCAAATTATGTAGCTCTGCCTTGGGGCCAGGACCGAAGGAGATTAGAGAAGCATTGCTCATGGGGATTTGTTGGACCCTGTGTCTCTCAGCTGCAGAGTGGGGTGGCTTGAGGAAGGCTTTGCAGGGCTTTCCTGGCTGCGAAGAGCTCATGGGTCGTGCAGACTTTGGGGCAGAGTATCCCCTTCCTCAGCCCATGTTCCACAAGCCTCTGCCCAGCCCTCGGTAACAATAACTCCATGTTCTGCTTGTGTCGAGGGGAGCCTTTCAGGTTACATTTTGTTGCGGATGAAACACAAGGATGTTTTACTTCGCAGTGTAATTTTAAGAGGCCTCACATGGCTCATAATCTGCCCTCTCATATTCCATGGTGTATGTGTGCGTTTTCTCTCTCTCACTTTCTCAGAGTCGCAGAGCTGTTTTGATTGATTGTCCTCAGCTGCAGCTAAAAGTCCAGCCAGCCAGTTTATAGACTTGGTTCCAGCATCAATTCTCGCTTTGAAAAACATGACATTTAAAACCACCCTTTGGTTTTCCTACATATGGATCTGATGCTTTTGTTAAAGATTGGTTTTGCTGCTTTTCTCCTGGAATATAAGTCTCATTTGGACACCGCATCTCCTTGACCTCAGAGCACCTTTATTTCAGTGCCATTGTAATTGACAGGTTGAATTTATGAGATACTGTCAAAGTTCAGTATTAATAGCAGATATTAATGTCACCAGCGTTTTCCAATAGAAAATTAATGTCAGTGTTGTCTGCAGCTAGTAGCCCTCTAAAATGATTCCTACATGCCTCGACACTACATGCTGAGTGCTTTCTTTTATGCTTTTTGCTCTTGGAGTGCTTGGGCCATCTAATCCCTTTGTTTTAATGACATTACAATAGGGCATGCAACAAATCACTGCACTTCCCTCCTGTTTCTCCGTGATTTGTTCCTTTAAAAGTCATCTGCGTCAGCCCAGAGTGAGTGCGGATCCATATGGGCACTGTGAGTGGGAACGGTGATCCGAGTGGGCAGCACTGCAGAGGGTGGGTATGGCAGGAGAGAAGTGTGGAGGCTGTCTGTCTGTCTGTCTGTCTGTCTCTGCGTCCCTCGTGGCACGTGTGGACAGAAAGCTTGGCCTGCCCCAGGATTTTCTTAGAGAGAAGCCTGAGCTGGTGGCCTCCACGCAGGGAGGAGAGCCAGGGACTCCTGTGTGCTTAAAAGCTCGGAAACATGCTGGGCTGCAAGATGAAAATCAGACTCTTTTTCTCTTCCATTTGACTGTAGCCTCTGTGAAGATGAAAAGCCTTTGGTCAGTGCTCAGAACTTTGCTTGGCTGTAACAAGAGCACAGCGTTGCCCAGGACAGGCCTGGTTTCTGGGACATTAAGCCTTTCCCAACAACCGTGTCCCCTGGGCACAGCCAAGGTGTTGAGGCTTAAAGCTGCTTTTCAAAAAAAGCTCTTTTGTTTTCAGACGATGCAGGACTCTGGGCAGCATCTTAGATTGTTCTCAACTGAGATTTTTGAACTGCAAAAGTAGCAGGTCTTGTGCCATAGACTCTGAAACAAACCAAAACCACAGCAGGCAGTGGAGAAGAGGGAGAAGCTGCTCGGAGCTCAGCACTGAGCTGTGACCTGGACCAGCTGCGTGAGTTGATTCCAGCACGGTCAGGCATTTGGGAGGCAGGGAGGGCCTCTGCACTCTGCCATGGTGATTTTGGGCTGCATGGAGGGTACTCAGCCCATCCCTGTGCAGGCAGTGGGGGACCACCAGGGCATGATGTTCATCCGCTTTTTTTCCTTCAGTGTACAGCTCTTGGTGTTCCTGCAGCCTCCTGGATGCTTGTGGCCTTGCCATCGTAGAGCTCTTGAAGTGGCAGGAAAGCTATTTTCTGGGTCCCCAAGAGCCCACCGATCCCTTAAACCCAAAAGAGGAGCTGGGGGGCATTTGCTGGTTACTGTTTTTAAACACCACGTTCGTGCTGCTGCAGTGGGTGAGATGCCCATCTTTTCTGGAGTTTTTCCAGGTGTACAATCCTTTACACAGATATCTATGTACTGTATTTCTGCATTTTTCCTGACTTTTGTCAGGTTTACTGGTGAGGAAGGAAGCATTTCTGACTTGTTAAAGAGGTGGGAACACCGTTTCTGGAGGCAGCTGGGCTCCCGTGTGCGACGGAGGAGGCCGTTGGTGGGTCAGTACTCAGAGAAAGCTCTAAAAAGAGAAGAGTTTTGCTCCCAGTTGTTGAGCAGGTAGAGAGGGAGGTGGCTGTGGGTCTCCTGGGTCGGTGCTGGCTCCACCTTGTCTTGGTGGGAAGGGGCTGCCAGGCCCTTTGGGCAGTGGAGCAGTGCCTGGGCCAGGGGTAGGGGTGCTGGCGTGTACAGCCTTAGCTGGGATCTCTCTGTGTTTGCTGTGAGCTGAGTGTGTACCTGCACATCTCCCTGCTTCCCTAGGCATTTGGGAAGAGGAAATCCTGCCCGGCCAATGCAGCATTGCTTTAGTGGCTGGTCTGATGTAGTTCAGACAAGGTTCCCACCAGCTCCCTTGTTTAATAGACCTCTTTTTTATTAAAAACAAACCCCAAACTCCTCTCTCAGAAAAGCCAGCCAAGATGCTCTTTTTTTCTTCCCCTCTCTCTTCCATCTTGTTCCTCTTAGAGGAACTCTGGGAGCCTGTCTCGGTGCTTTCACTCTTTCACATGCCAAAGATTGCTACATCCCTCTTAGTTACGCTCCTGCCAAACCAGATCTTACAGTCTTGCCTCAAAAATCATCCACTTCCCTGCTCCTTGGGGTTCCTTTTGTTGCTGTTGCTTTTTCATTGAATTTCCTCATGTTTATTGACATGTCTATTGTTGAGCTTCCTGGACACATGCAGCTCTCTTTTTCGGATACAGAGGAAGACAAATAGTTGCCTTCCCTGCTCTGCCCCTGCTGTTGGGGAAATACTGCTAGTGCTACGGTTCCTACAGATGGGGACGGGTCTTATTTAGAGCTGGGGTCACGGAGGGTGTAAACTGGCATTGCTCCATTGGCTTGGCTGGAATAAGGCCAGTTTTGTCCAGCTGAGAATCTGTCCTTAATGTCTAAACAGTTACTACACACTAATAAAGATTAATGATTGTAAATCCCCACGGATTATACATAAAATGGCAAGTTTTACTCATTAATCTTTATTGCCATATTATAGCTGTTTATGTTAGAGGAGTCGTCTCTCTCTGTTCTGAACATGCACTTAGGAGGTGGGGGTCGAGCGTGGGGGAGCTGAAGGGTGGACAAAAGAGACCAGATGTCCACGTGTTTTACAGCCTGTGTCCTTCCCCCAAGTTGGTTGTTTCCTTGAAAGCCGTTAACCAGCAGCAAAGGATGTATCGCAGAGCTTTGTCTGCTTCACTGGCCTCTGGCTGAGCTATAAAATCCAGATTGTTTCTGGTGAGAGGGGATCAGATCTCCTAATTAATATTTCAACTCAGCCTTTACTGGAGCAGATGGATAATATGAAATTTGACGTGTGCTCTGGCAGGCCAGGGCGCTGCACTGCAGCGAGACTCCGCTCCGGACCGGGGCTGGAAGAGATGCTTTCTCTGCAGCAGGAGCTGTGCTACAGGTTGAAAGGATGCTGCTCCTTCACGTAACCCCACACCATAGAAGCAGCTGATTTTGTTAACGAAGAAGGCCAGAAAAAAGATGAATTCAATCTCAGCTTTTATGTGTTTGCAGATAGAGACACAGCCAGGAGGTGGTGGTGCCAGTGGTCTGGGCACAAAGGTTTGTGTGCTCTATAAAGGAAGAGGACTTTAAAGGGAGTGCCGTAAACTGCAAGGGTGGTTTTAATGGCACAGGGACAAAATGAGTCCTCCCTAAGGCAGCTGATGTCAGTCCACCCTGCCATGAAGGTCTGGAGCCCATGAGGAAGGCTGGAGCAAAAAGAGAGGGCAAAAGAGACAGCCACAGACTTGATGGAGTAGGTGAGAGCCCCTGTCTCCTCTTTCTCCTGCCATGTACTCCTTCAGGCCCAGATTTGTAGGCAGCGGGTTCACTCACCAGTCCCAGATTGCCACTGTGTCCCCACTTCCAGCAAGAGCAACAGGATCTAAAGCCCACAGGGAAGAACTGGAAGCGAGCTGGTGCGTGTTTCCTGCTACGTGGGCTTGTGTGTTGCTGCTTCTCCTGCTGAGCTCGTCAGTGAGACACAGAGATCAGACTTAGATGATGGGGAAAGCATGGGAAAGGCCTCTGTAGCTGAGGAAGAAGAGGGTAGACATATTCCGGTGGTCTCTAACTAGCCTAATGGTGGAAATATCTAATTTTCAGGCCCCAGGGATAAATGAATTCTTCAGGGCCCCATGCAGCCAGCCAGCGCCGTTCCACCGGGAACTATTTGGGCTGCGTGGCGTTTATTACACGGCATCTTTAGTGCACTCCTGGGTTGCTGGAAAGCTCTTCGCCTCCATCGACACCTCAGTCACCTTTCCGTTTTGTATTTTACAGTCTGGGATTTTACCAGCAGCCTTTCTTCTAGGCAGTTGGTCAGGGCGAAGGTGAGGGAAGGGGGTGTCCAGCCAGGGCTCCGCCGAGCGCTTTGGGAGAGGAAGGAGCTGCCCCTCTGTTATCCCGTGCCTGCTTCCCGGGAAGCTGCAGCCAGAGGTTTGCTGCCCTGCGGGAATCCAGCCGAAGCGAGAGCTTCTCCTTGGCATTCAAAATCCCGTCCTGGAAGTGGAGCGGTGCTGGAATTGCAGCCGGCATCGCTCCGAGGTGGCTCGCTCTCGCCGGCAGCCGGGCTGCAGGACGGGCCCCGTTTCCTTCCTCGAAAGGCTCTTGGGTTTCTCTAAACGATGGGGCAAGAGTCCAGCGGCTGCGAGGTACCGCGAGGATAAGCCGGGAAAAGCTTGGAAGCGTCGTAACCGCTCTGGAAATAGAGATGGAAATCTCAAAAGATCAGACGTTCTTTCGGCAATTTCCAAAGCTGTGTGGTTTTAGCCAGACCTGAAAACCCTTCCTAGAAGTTTATTTCAGGGTATTTTGATACGTTACTTTCGCTTTTGGGCCCAGCTAAATCCAGGAAACTCAGAATAGTGTAATTTTTAAATAAAGAGTAAACACACCCCAGCTATTACTGAACCAATCAGGAGAGTTTCTGCTTGGTTTCTCTTACAGGAAGAATTCAGGCCAGCTCAGGGTTTGTCCTAATTCCGTCTGGTTTTACCCCAGATTGTTATTCTTTTTGAGAAAATAGGAGATGAGACCATGGACTTTCCAAAACACCATGACCCGTCACGCGAGGGTATGAACCGAATTGGGCCAGGAGGCAGATGGAGAGAAGTGCTCCAGTAAGAGGCGGCCAATGTCTGATGGCTGGAAGGAGCCGTCTGGCAGCGAGCGTGCCCGTGGCCTCCAAAAGCAGAGGTAGATACAGTTTCCCCAGGCGTTGTGTGATGGAGCTATCAGCGTCTGCCACGGCTTGGTTTTTTTCCTCTAGTAAAGAACATTCAGCCATCTCGGAGTGGCCAGGAGCAGGATCTGAAAGCCTTTGGTGTTTCTCAGCCCCATTGTATGGGTTTTTTCAGGATACTGCAAAAAGTCAGGGAGGGCCAGGTGTCCTTGATTTACAGAGCCGGAGTGAAGAGATGTAGATTAAGTGCCTCGAAGAGCCAACAAAGGTGTATTTAAAGATAAATTACAGTCTCTGTCATAGCTGCTAAGTCAGGATCAAATTTTCACATACACAGGTGCAGCCACAGAGCTCTCACTCCACACGTAGCCCAGATTTAGTTGAGTCTTGCGTAAATATCTAATGGCATGGACCATACTCTTTGGTGGGCTGCTGGGCAGGCTGGGGCTCTACAGGCAGGAAAACGCCTGGGTCAAAAGAAAATATTGCCAAAATGAGGATTTGGCTGCAGACATTTCCTATATAACCTAAGAGTGAAGTGGATTTCCAGAGCTCCGTCGTTGTGAGTGGGGCGGCGTGTGGCGCTGCGCCGGGGGGGCGGCTGGAAATAGGCACAACATACACAAGAGTTGGGATTTTGCCTTCATTTTTTAATAGCAATACATTGGGGGAAAGCTGCTAGCTGGAGTTTCTCGCAAACTGGAAATGTGTTGGAGTAAATCTTGTCAAAAAAACCCTGTCTAAAAATGCCCGAAATCTTCAATTTGAGGAATTACAGTTTTATTGGCAAAGATCCATGTTTAGCATGAAAAAGTACGAAATTATTAGAGTTTCTGTCTTACGATGTGAAATCTGCTTTTTCTTGAGACGATGGTAAATTTGCAACAGGGCTATTTCTACGTCCTTTCAGCTGGAACAAATGGAAAGGCTGGGAGCACAGTGGGAAAGCAGCCACTTCCCAGTGATCTGCTGGTACTGGAGGGGCACGGGGAAGCACCCGCGTGTTTTCAACATGTCAGAAGAGAGAAGACTTTCCAACCTGCTGTAATGCAAGTCCTTATTTTTAGGATTTAGTCCTTTATTTTTAGGATTTTTCTTTTTTTTTTTTTTTTTTTTTTTTTTTACAGTAACATCATTTGTTTTATAACTGTGAAAGTCTCTGCTTTTCCTTACATGTGGAAGGCTGATTATTCCTTCTCGTGTTCTTAGTATTTATTATTTATCCATTTCTGGTACTACCCAAGTTGTGCTGAAGGCATCTCCCAGCCTGCCCTCGAGCCATGCGGAATCCCTGAGTATCTCCCGACAGCTGGGATGGTGAATGGCAGTAGATGGCTAATTATGATTTTATTATTTTAAATTATATTTATAGCAATTTAGATTTTCTTTTAGTGACCTGGTTTGCTCTAGAATTAGGCATGGGGATAAGGAATTTTTATTTTTAAATATGGCATTTTTCAAATTTTCTTTAAATGTCTTGAAGGCTTCTGAATAAAGCTACTCACTCTTTCATTTTTAATAGGAGAAGTAGCAGTTGGGTTGTAATTGTTCCTTCAAGAGGGGATTGACAAGCATGAGGGATCAGTTTAACTGGTAAAAACTCTAGGTCACAGCATCGTTAACCAAAAGTGCCCTGGAATTCCGAGAAATTTCCACCTGAAAAAATAAAATCTGGTTTGTAATGAACTTGGTTTGTCCAAGTCTCATGCCAGGCTTTTCTCTAGTGAATTTACATGGAGATTTCCTTCGGCTGGCGAGAGCCAGGGTTGCCAGGATTGCTTCAGAGTGGGGCTGGGGGCCACCAGGCACCTTCTGGCCCAAGGTCTCCTCTGGGTGTGGAGGACACGAGTCCTGCAGAAATGATGGAGGAGCAAATGGATGGCTGCTTCTTGCTCTGTAAGAGATGTTGAGGTGGAATCCCACAAGCGGGACCGGTGTTAGAAAAGCAGGACTGGGGGCTCAAAACCAGTTTTTTTGTTCTTTTTATTCCCTTTCTCCACTGCACAAAGGTGCCTTGCTGCTGCCCCGCCGCCTCCTGCGCCTCCCCAGCCCCGCTGATAAAGAATGCTGTGGTGCATCTGTTTTCAAACAGCTTGCTTTGGTTTTCTGGTTTGTTTTTTCTTCCCCCTATGTATAAGAAACGTTGGGTAGCAGAATATGGAATTCATTAGAAGTTCATAAAGCTGGGACCTCAGAAGGATGTGGGTATAAATGCTTTTCAGGCATCTGAGGTGAACTTTAAATGGAGCTTTGGCCCTCATTTGCTTTCTGCTTTTCAAATACCATTTATGAGAAAGTGGAGCTGTCAAAGCCATGCATGAACTTTGCCTTCTTGCAAATAACTTGTCTCAAAGTAAATTGTCAAAATGCACAAGAAACTTGTCTCAAAGAAAATCCAGTAGCTCTACAAAGCTGGAAACGTGTGTGCATTAGAGTGTGTGTGTGTGTGTGCACGTGTTGTGCACGGGTGGGTGGAGCGCGTGAGTCTACCATTTTGGAGAGTAAAAAACCAGAAAGTCGAGTGTTTTTAAAAAAAGGCAACGTAAAATATTTATTTCTTGGCAAAAGTACATCAGACCACATCTCCCATCCTTCTTTTAATTGCTTGGTGTTTGGTTTTGTTGTCTAAAGTCTTTGCTGGCCCGTTTCCTCCGTGGTGCTGGTTGCTCCTTCGCAGCCCATAACCTCAGACAACCCCTCTGGCAGCGAGGGGAGCCCACGGGGGTCTGCACCCGAGGGCAGGAAGGGGAAGGTAGCATGAGATGAAAAGGCAGGACAACCCAATAGGAGCAATTCTCAACTTTTAGCCTCGTTGGGGAAACTCCATCCTCATGAGGTTCAGAACTTCCCACGTCCTAACGCAAGATCCCACATCATCACTCTAGGGAGGGTGGGTTGTTCCAGAGGTAGGAGGCTTTGAGAAGGACTTGGCTGGTTCTTGTGGACACGTGCTGGTGGTATATCTAAAAGAAATGAAGTGCCGTTGTCTTTGTGAGGTTCTTGTCAGTGCTGGTCAAGGTCCCCTCGGTCTTCCCCCGGGCTGTGTGGCAGGGCAGAGCCAGAGCAAGGAGGCAGTGCCACCCCATGCCGTGGTGAACCCTCACTCCGAGCTCCTGTTCCAGGCGAAATGTCACAACGGAGTCACTCAGATATTGCAAAGTTCTGCAATAAAATAAAAGGGGGCCCCTCCTGCCCTCCAGAGCACTCCTGGTTGCCCACCCACGCGGCTCCGTGTCCACTCCCTCTGAATCACTGCTCTGAACCTGTGTTCTCCTCACTCATCTCAAAGCCGTTCCTCCTCCTCTGAAGATGATAAATAGGAGACTGACAGTAGGACCGTGTGCCTAGTGTTAGACAGGCTTTTATTTAATGTTGTTGTTGTCTTAACCAGATGCTTTTAGGATCCGTGTTGTACTGGATTAAAGATATTGGTGGAACAACTGAACTGGTATTCTTTAACTGCCCCAGGTCCTTTTCCTCCGCTTTCTTCATTAAAAACAAAAAAAATAGATTGGGAGAATATATTTAACTTGAAAAAAACCACCCCAAACCGTGCTGATGGAATAGGTTAATCTTCTTCACTACGCTTTGATTTTATTTCTCAGGATATCCAAAGGTTTATCACTGCTGCTGAGAGAAGGGGACAGTACACCTTTTTGAAACTTCAACCACTGTAACCGTTTTCCAGATGTGTGTGTGTGTGTGTGTGCGTGTGTGTGTTTGTTAAACGCCGCACTGTGTGTGCGTGTGTTCTGCTGAATATTGTGTGCATCTAGGAAATGCTTCAAACAACTGCCTGGAAGTCAAAACCAACCACCTCTTTCCAGTCATATGTTTGCCGTGACTTTTCATAACCACACTTGAACTAGTGGTCTTGGATTAAATATTCAAAGAGCAGGGCATCTTTATAGCAATGGTATGTCAGTCAAATTAAGAAAAATGTACACAAAAATAAATAAATGAAATTTAAAAGTAACCTGCTGTCAGTCTACCTGTGTTTACCCAGTGGAGGTGCCGCCAGTTGCTGGGGACAGGCTTTGTGCTGCTTTTGCTGTCCACGTGGAAGGTTTCTAAGGATCATGTGTGGGCAACAGCTTATCGTACGTTGCTGAAAACTCAGGAAAGCTCAAGCTGCTCTACAGAAATTGCTGTCAGTTTTTCTGCCCTTGGTTTTTCTTTCTGTGCTTGGGCTGGCCTGGGCAGACACATCCCCATCCCCTCCACCCCACATCGAAGCTGGGAGCCCCCTCTCCCTCCGGGGCTCTGGCAGGGCTGGTGGGAGCAGAGCAGCCCCCTGTCATGCCTCCCCCTGCAACAAAAAAGCAGCTTTCCAGTAGGAATGGGGGGTTTGAGGGGCTGTGAACGGACACAGCCACCAAGCCCAGCCCCTGGGGGTGCAGGTCTTGGGGCTGGGCTGGCACCAACCCGTGCTGGTGGGGTTGGTAGCCCGGTGGCTCGCTCGGCACCTTGGGCTGCTGTGGCTGAAGTAAGTGGAGGGGTTTTTTTGTGGCTGCCGGCCCCTGCGCTCGCTGGAAAACAGCCACGGGGCTTTGCTCCCTCTTTCACCAGGTCCTGGATCCAGTCTGTGATTCCACTGCCAGCCCCATCGCTATTATCTGCAATTAAGCCTTGCATTTCTCTAAAGGTTAACGATTGGGCTGTGCGTTTGTCATGATGCAAAGCCAATTTTCACCCTTAATTTATTAGGCCGGGCCAAATAGCATTTTTCTTGAGTAAAGCATGCTGGTCTGGGTCATGCTGAAACACGAATCTCTTATTTCTCTCTTTCTCCTGTAAATAAAATTATGCTTCGATTTATATTAGAACGGCCGAAAACAACGGATCAGCTCCCTCTGCTGATCCTGCAGCTCCAGTTGAGGTGAAGAGCACTAAGTTGCAGAGCTGGTGTGCTCAGGATGAGCTGAACAGAAATAGCCCAGTTAATAAAATAACTTGTGAGGGCACAGGGGAGGAATCGATGCTCATGGTGTAGAGGAGGGCGCAGTGGCCGGGGCTGGAGGCTGGCAGGCTGCAGGGGGAAGGTTCCCCAGCATCGGTGATGGGAATGCCTGGGATTCGGAGATGGCCATAAAAACGTCTGAGGAGAAGAGCTGGAGGAGGCACATCACCATTTCTGGGAATCCTACGCAAAACAGCTGCCCAAGTTCTATCCGCACTGAGGGATGTGTATGTTTGTGTGTTTGTGTTCTGTCTAAAAGGAAGAAATTAAGAGCCATACTTTTATTTTATCAAATCAAATTAGCCTTGTATGTTCAGAATATTTATGCATCAGTGCTTTTTTCTTTTTATTAGGGCTTTATCTCGCTGTAATCAATTCCAAATACAAAACTATTTTTATCGCTGAAATGCAGCAGTAATTTATAAGATGTAGACAGAACGCACACGAGATGCCAAAAGCAATTTTATGGAGCCTCTTTTGTTGTCATCTACAATGCGTCAGTTCTTGCCTTCAGCCTCTCATCAATTTTAAAAGCCCCAAGATGAAAAAAATAATAAATAGGAGTAAGTGTACTGAAGCAGCTGCCAACCCCTAAAATAGTGTGGAGATACGTGTGCACCTTTGGGAGAGAGTTTGATTGAACACGGCACAGGAACGTAAGCCCTGCTGAGCTCTGGAATACAGTTATTTTAGTTGGCGAAGTGGCAGATCTTGTTCCCTCTGTCTCCCTTCCCTGCTACACACTATTTCATGTATGTGCGGAAAATGGAATGGCAAAATAATGTCCTGCATTATCACAACAAACGTCACACTGAAATGAGGAAAAGAAGAAGAGTGGAAGGTGAGGTCCTCGCAGCCAAACAGGAACTCCAGCGCTGCAGAAGACAGCATTTCAGCACATCCAGGCTAAAGCATGACTTTTATGTGGTCCTTCTTTGGGTAACTTTCCCCAAACTGAGCTATTCATGCTGGATGTGACTTGTAGGCTCATCGTGGGATTGGCAGTGGGCTGTCAGAAGTTGCAGACACCCATCTTAATCCACTCTGACCACCACTAAAGGTAAAACTTTCTCTCAGAGAAATGCAAATTAAGCTGGAATGAGGTCCCAAGTACCTTCTGGCAGCAGCATCTCATGGAATTGAGGTAAAGATGAAGAAGAGCCATTTCCCACAAAGTGAAGCATTTGTGAGGCAGGACCTGCTGCCTTGTGGTGTTGCACCTGTGCGAGACAAGGGGTTTGGCCTTGGGATGTCTGTACTAATAATGGTGATAAATTTGCTACTGGAGCCTTCCTGGAACCCTCGGGGCTGGAGAGAGGTGGCTGCTGAAATGCCTTTGCCTGGTGGCTGTGCACTCGTGAATACACGGAGTTGTGTGGATTATTTTCTCTTCACACAGCACAAGAGCGAGATCAGAGACTATAAAAATGAAGAGAGGAGTGTTTCACAACTCGTTTCTGAAGACAGCCTTGAATATCTAGAATCCAACTTTGATTTGTGACTTTTACTTTGGCCTGACAAATGGCCTTCCCCTAACACTTCTCCATGTTGACAGATGTCTGCGATGATGGACCGAGGAGTTGAAGAACCTGCAGGACATTTTCCAGGTGACAGCACCTGCTCAAACACAGCCCTTGCTCTGCACGTTGGCTCCACTGCTGCTTGATGTCCGTGTGCTGGGACAAGGCACATGAAATTTTAGCAATTAGGTTTTATAAAATGGGATGTGGAAATATGAGTATCTGAGGTGACACACACTCTTCCTTGGCGTGAGCTGCTCCTCCACCTTCTCTGTGTCACGACAAACGTGATCACAGCCCAAGCACAGCAGCACAGTGCTCCCCTCCTCGGGCTTCTCCTTCCTCCTCTCCTCTGGGATCCCCTCTGGGTGTGCAGGAATGTTTGCTTCCAGAATGCAAATATGCCAAATGAAGCACTCCGAAATCCCCATCCCTGTTTTCATGCCAGTCCTTTGCTCCCTCCATCCAGCTCCCCGTGTCCCACCGGAGCATCTCCAACAGCAGCATCCAGGTGTACGTCCATGGGTAGAGTTTTTCAAAGTGCGCCTTTGATCTTGCCGGTGCAGACATCATTTCTGCTCCCTCCAATTTCCCTGGTGTTTCCTGCTACACAGCCACAGTTTTACCTCTCCAGCACCCTTCTGGTTGCATTCCTGGCTCTCCGGTGCTGGAAGTGCAGGGGTTGATGCTGAAAGCAAGATATTGCAGAGTTATCTTAAGAATATCTTGCATCTAGAGGTGATGTAGTTTACTGATGATAAAGATACCCATGTTTAATTCTGTTTCATTTGCTTGCCAAATCCTACTAATGTTATGAGAGGAATAGCCAAACTGGGAGTATTTTCAGTCTTTAAAAAGCATCCCATTTTAATACCCAATGATTGGTTTTAACATATTCACATTAATAGGTCTCTTTCAATATGCTCCTATTAACTGGAGGTATTGAAAATAAATGGAAGGACATTACAGAGTGTTAACAAATTATTAATGGCAAACTTTACTGAGGCACCTTTCTTGTTTGCCGACCACTTTCACATTAGAGTGCTTTTGGGAAATAATAGTAATAAAAAAATCCCTCTTGAAGGAATCATTACTAAAGCATTTTGCATGCAGATTACTTCAGGCTTCAGCCTTGCGACTCTCGGCGAGGTTAGGAGAGGAAGGCCAAGATTTGTTGATTGAGATCAGATGGTTGGTGGCGAGAAGGAATCTAGATGACTTAACTGGAGGGATTAAACTCAAGTCTTTTGGCTTCCATTTGGCTGTTTTATAAACTCCACCGCTGGGCCAGCAAGTTGGGCCGCGTTCCCCTCGTGGTGTGTGTGTGTGATGTTAGCGAGGCGGTTTGAAGCATCAGCCAGTCCATCAGTGTGAGCCGCCAGATGTTCTGGGTGAGAAAGGGAGAGACAGTGTAACTGAAAGCTAAAATTAGTCCCCAAAGCGCCCGTCCGCACACCTCCGGCTCGGCGGCTGACCTACTGCCCGCCTGCTGCTGGCCCAGGAAAGTGGGGCTGAGAAATCTCCAGCCTGGCCACCACCTGGGTTTTTTTGGTGGTTGATGGTGTGCGTTGGGCTCCTCAAGAGCTCCGTCCCCGTTTCCCTGCCCTGCCCAGGGAGATGCAGGTCCGTGTGGTACCCAGACCAGCAGGGATGTGCCCCGGCAGCACCACGGCCACACGGCACTGCCCGGTGACGCACCGTGGGACACGTGAGGAGCCACGGTTTGTTACTGGCAATTCCTGTTTGAAGCCTCACCCATGAGACGTACCCCCACGGGAGGAGATGGAGCTCACTTTCTTCTTTCTTTCAAAGCCCTAACCTTTAATTTTACAACGCTGATTGAAACCAAGACTGGAAATAAAAAGTCAGAGCTACTCTCTGTTTTCCTTCCCCTCCCTTCCATTATCTTCTTTCTTTTCCATCCATCCTCATTTCACATGCCTCTCAGATTGCGTCCCCCTGGTTTTCCAGTTATTTATTGACCCAGACCTAATTCCTTATTTCCAGAAATGTGTCATGAATCCTGCCTTTGAGTCATTCGCTCTTTGCTTTCCAGGCTCACCTCCTTGACCACGTTTTCCTGTAAGAGATAAGGATATAGGGTTTGCGGAGTAATCGCAGCAGGATGCCTGGGTTTCATTCACGGAGCTGTTGCCACTGGCTCATTATGGAAAATTAGGAGAGTTATTTCACCTTTCAGTGCCTCACCTCAGTGTCACCATCTGTAAAACAAGGCTAATAATTGTTATCTCTTCCTTGCAGGAGAACTGGGGAGCTTCGCTAATGACCATCTGCTAAATGTTCTCAGAGCCTCACATGAACATTTCTACTGAAGTGCAAATTATTATTAGAAACCAGGGATTGTTACTGGATTGATATCAAATCATTGTTGACAGCTTCTCTGCAGGGAAAACTTAGGCTCAGCCAACAAGAACAAGCTGCATGTTTTGAAGTTGTGCAGTTGATTATATTGGCTTTCATCTTCTGGTAAGAGGA